TCTCCTCTGCGCCGACGGCAGCACTCTCCTGACTGAGAAGACGCAAATTCTACAGCGATGGGCCGAGCACTTCCGAGGCGTCCTCAACCGCCCTTCCGTCATCTCCGACGCCGCCATCGCCCGCTTGCCGCAAGTGGCGACCAACGTGGACCTCTACCTCCCGCCATCTCTCCAGCAAACCATCAGGGCCGTGCAGCAGCTCTCCAACGGGAAAGCACCCGGATCGGACGCCATCCCTGCTGAGGTCTACAAGCACAGAGGTCCCCTACTGATGGATCACCTGACTGCGCTCTTCCAGGAGATGTGGCGTCAAGGTGAAATCCCGCAAGATTTCAAGGACGCAACTATCGTGCACCTTTACAAGCGCAAAGGGAATCGCCAAGTCTGCGACAACCACCGCGGCATCTCCCTACTGAACATCGCCGGGAAGATCTTCGCTCGCATCCTGCTCAACCGCCTCAATAACCATCTGGAACAGGGCCTTCTGCCGGACAGTCAATGCGGCTTCCGTCGTCATCGTGGGACCACGGATATGATCTTCGCAGCCCGCCAACTTCAGGAGAAGTGCCAGGAGATGCGGACCCACCTGTACTCTACCTTCGTGGACCTGACGAAAGCCTTCGACACGGTGAATCGTGAAGGACTGTGGAAGATCATGCAGAAATTCGGCTGTCCGGAGCGATTTACTCAGATGGTGCGTCAGCTGCACAACGGTATGATGGCGCGAGTCACGGACAACGGCGCTGTCTCAGAGGCATTCGCAGTGACCAACGGAGTGAAGCAGGGCTGTGTGCTGGCGCCTACCTTCTTCAGTCTTATGTTCTCTGCCATGCTGATGGACGCCTACCGCGACGAACGCCCCGGGATCCGCATCGCCTACAGGACGGACGGTCATCTGCTGAATCATCGGCGCATGAACTTCCAATCGCGCGTATCCACAGCCACCGTGCACGAACTCCTCTTCGCCGACGACTGCGCCCTGAACACCACCTCGGAAGAGGAGATGCAACGGAGCATGGACCTATTCGCCGCCGCCTGCGAGAACTTTGGGCTGGTCATTAACACGCAGAAGACGGTGGTGATGCACCAACCGCCGCCCAACTCAGCCACAGCCCCCAACGCTCCGCCGCAAATCAGCGTGAACTGAAATACACTGCAAGTGGTGGAGATCTTCCCGTATCTGGGCAGCACGCTCTCCCACAACACCAAGATTGATGACGAAGTCGCCAACAGGATCTCGAAAGCCATTCAAGCCTTCGGTCGTCTCCGTAGCACAGTTTGGAATCGCCACGGTCTCCAACTGAGCACGAAGCTGAAGATGTACAAGGCCGTCATCCTGCCGACGTTACTGTACGGAGCAGAGACCTGGACGGTGTACACGAGACAGGCACGCCGACTGAACCACTTCCACCTCAGTTGTCTCCGCCGCATCCTGAGGCTGAACTGGCAGGATCGAATCCCCGACACGGAAGTACTGGAGCGAACGGGAATCCTCAGCATCTACGCCATACTGAGACAAATGCAGCTGCGCTGGAGCGGCCACCTGGTTTGCATGGATGACGAGCGTCTACCCAAACGACTCTTCTACGGAGACGTCGCGACGGGTTCTCGTCGTCAAGGAGGCCAAATTCGCCGTTACAAGGATACTCTGAAGTCCTCCCTGAAGCGCCTGCAAATCAACCCGACCAACTGGGAAGAGCTCGCTCGCGATCGTCCGACATGGAGGAGAACAGTGAAGACGGGCGCTGCTATCTACGAAGAAAACCGAATCGCCGCCGCAAAAGCGAAACGCGAAGCCCGCAAATCACAACTTCGCCCAGTCCGCAACGCCGCCGCAAAACCTCTCCCTACGTGTCCTCGATGTCAACGGACATTCCGGGCACGAATCGGACTTGTCGGACATCCTCCTCCTTCTCCTCCACTGCCCCAGCGGCGGCCGTTCAGACTGCCGTCTCACACATCACCAACCCCGACACAATAACCGCCTCCACCCCCACCTCTCCCGATTCCAGTGATGAGGATCAGGACTTCACCTGCCCTCACTGCGACCGCACCTTCACCTCTCGCATCGGCCTGGTCGGTCACTTGCGAATCCATCGCACAGAGACTGGCGAACCAGTGCCTGGAGCACCAACCCACACCCACCGTAATCGCCTCCACTGCCCACAATGCCCTCGCACCTTCACGCATCGCATGGGTCTATTCGGGCACATGCGCATCCACGAGAGCGGAATTGACCGCAGCTTTGACACATCCACCCCGCCGAGCCCCACTCCCAATCCACCACCTTGTGCACCCACTAACCACTCCCCAGCCGACATCGACGCCACCGACCTTACCACGCCTCACTCCTCCCCTTCCTCCTCCTCTTCCTCCATCACTGCCACAACGACGGCCGCTTCGGCGTCTGTCGCCCACGACTTCACCGCAGCCGAACCTGACACAACAACCGGCACAACCCCTGCAACCTACATCATCAGACGTGAGGGCCAGGGCTACATCTGCCCTCACTGCGATCGCACCTTCACCTCTCGCATCGGCCTGGTCGGTCACTTGCGAATCCATCGCACAGAGACTGGCGAACCAGTGCCTGGAGCACCAACCTACACCCACCGCACTCGCCTCCACTGCCCACACTGCCCTCGCACCTTCAGGCATCGCATGGGTCTATTCGGCCACATGCGCATCCACGACGACCTACGGTAGACAACCGCCGGTCACACCACACATTCCCTCACCCCCTACCTCCTAACACCATCACCCCACCAGACATCAACACTCACACACCTCATGCACTCAACTGCCGCCTCCCACGCAAGTGGGAAGTGTGCATCTCGACTCGGTCCCCATGCGGTTTCGGCTGCACGGGTGACTTGTGTCCGAGACTATTCCGACACGCCAAGTGTCGTGGATAGGAAGGTTGCTGATTGAGGCCCGCTCTCGGTTCACGCAGTTCGTCACGTTGTGTGTGTGTGTGTTGTGTGTAGTGGCGGACTGGTGGGCTGGGGACGGGCTGAAGCAGCACCTTCCACGGCCCTCTCACGCAAGTGGGAGACACGCCGTTCTACCCCCGTTGTGTGAAATCCTGGTGTTTGTGTGTATGGGGGGCCAGGTCGTGCTGTGGCGCGCGCAGGCATGGTCAGTCGACCATGCCAGCCACCGCGCTCATTCCCCACTCCAGTCTACTGACCGGCTCGGACAGTGGCTGGGGTGTGGGAATGGAAAGGGAGAGTGAGGTCGACGACTCAGCGCATTTTCCTCACTATAATCAATCTGACGCGCTTGAAGCTATCACGGTGCGCTAAAAGCCGTGGCTTGGAAGGTTGCCAACTGACGGGGTAACTTGGACCTCCTCCTTAACGGGAGGCGGTCTGAGAGTCAGGCTGCAATGGCTGCTTTTTAATGTGGACTTTATGGCACTCCTACCACAGTGTGGGATCCGAGCCAGGCGTTGGCGGCACGCCCAGGTGCGGCTTCGGCCAAGCCAGCCTCCAAATCTCTGTTGTGTTGGTTGAAGTCATGGTTATTGTTGTGTGGACCAGGGGGTGTGGTGGAACGCCAAGGTGAGGATCCGTCCGAGCCATCCCCCTGCGGCCTCCCTCGTCTCCGGTCTTCTTGACTCTGTCTTGACACCGGGCCCAGGCGGGGGAGGAGGTGAGAGTGTAGGTAGATGATGCTACGCAAGTCTACTGGCACTATAAACCCCTGCGCAAGTCACCGTCCCTGCTCCCACAATGCAGTCTGTGGGGTACACGGTGGTCATCGTCGAAATCGACGGACGAACTGTCGTGTGTGTGTGTGTGTATAGTTGTGGACTTGTTTATTCGATCCAAGGTTCACTCCTGAATGTACTGGTTGAATGCATTTTCAATTTTCATTGACAGTACCATCGTGAGTGCTAAACAAAGCGATTCCTTTATTTTATAAATGGCCTTTCCTACGATTTCTGAATGGTCCAAGGAATGAACGATCTATGCGAACGCATCTTGGAATCTAGACAAACAAACCAAACAGCTTTATTAAAGGCCCATCGGGGTTCCTTCATAGCAAGTAAAAATGTATTTTCAAAGATAAGTGAAGCTTTGCATTTACTTGGATATTCTTAAGCAAATAATGCTTTTTTACATGAGTCTTTTTTTAATAAAAACCGCCTATCACTACAAGGTATGCTTTTTCCCAGTTTTGTTTGACAGTCTTGCAAAATAGTCGTATTTTGTAAAAAATCTTTGTAGCGACTCCGTTCCAGACTATCTCTTTCTAATTTTCGTAGTTAAATAACGGTAGTACTTGCTATTCAATGCGTTTCTCTGTACGTTAGCAACGTTTCGATGATAATACTGCAACGAAAAACTTATCTTGTCTGTAATGCCCCACAGAGCACGTGGTAAAACACTAAAGCTTGCGGCCTCCCCACCGTCTTTTGGTGCTAGAATCGTGACCGGAGACACAGCAGGTGCCAGCTTATGTTCTTCGCCTTCTGCAGATATGGTTAACTCACAAATCCCTTTAGTACACTTAGAACGTCTTGACCCTCTAGTCATCCAAAACAACACCTCTGCTAGTCGTCACAAGCCATCAGCCGACGAAATACTCGATCAGTTGATTTATGGTGACATAAACAACACTTCTGAAAAAGTAATTGAACAAGCTTTTAAACTTATATGGGTAATAAGTTCTGAAACCGAGGAGAGAATTTAACGCAAGCATAATTTCGTACTGCGAAACATTCCCAGCCACTTATCTGCTATGGAGGGAGCGCATTTGTTCCTACAAAGTTGTGGCTTGAGTTTCAGTGTCGCACAAGCTAAACGACTGCGCTCGCTTAGGCGTAATGCGCCGATACTAGTTACCCTTTTCTCCATGATATAAGTCCATTTTATCTTGTCGAGGAGGGAGATAACTAGAGAATTCTGCCGTAAATGAAGCTGCTCCGTTTCGCCAGACCTCACACCACTTCAGCGAGACTGAATAAATTACAATCGGCAAAAGCCAACAACAAGATAATGAGACCTACTCTCAGTTTGAAAAAGTCCCCTATGCCACCATCTGCGGCCTCTGCACGTCACGGCATAGTCAATACCGTAGGGAATTTGACTACTTTTGATGCTGAGATCTTTATACACACCAACATACCTGGTATAAACACGCCTCTCCCGACTCCCCCAGCAACCCCTAGTAAGCCTAAGCATGTGTCGAAGTCAAAGGCAAATCCAATTGCTGCCTCAGCCACTCGGACACCCGATAAATCCAGCATCATTATAAAATGTTTTCGTCCACAATCGGCTAACAGTGCCTCAAATACCCCGACTCAAAACTTAACGTGTTCCCAAATGTCCCCAGCCCTCATATCGAGGCAGTTAGGCCGAATATGCCGATTTTCCCGCCGACTGATAGAACTGTTGCTCCAATGGAAGCAATGCCTCCCTCACCCCCTAACTTCTTTCCTCCACGGCCGTCTTGCCAATGTATTCCTCATGCTAGTGTCCATATTGGAGCAGTTAACTCATCCGAGCCTGAGTTTCGTTCCCGCGGGAATGTGTTGCAGTATCTGGCCTGCGGATTTCCGGCTGAAAATGAGTTAGTTAACAATAGTTACTAGTTTACCTGTGCGTCATTTCCTCCCTCAAGTCCTACCCCTTTTTATCCACATCAGGATCTTTTGATGTCACAAAATTTTTCGCAGAACCGGATGGGTACATCCGGACCGTTTGTTCCGTGGGCAGCCAAGCACTGGACGACGTAGCCCACCTCCGTCAGAAACAAACAGCCTTTCCCCACTAACGTTTGGTTTTAAATGACAGATCCTTGCTTTATAAGATGTCTCTGCTTTAGACATCCTGCACTACTCTAGAACTGATTGAAGAGTTTGAAAATCATCAACAATGAGCCAATTTGTTTTAAAAAACTCGTTCACAAAAGTCGCGCAACCGGGATTTGAACTCGGTACCTGCGGATTTGGAGACCAGAGCGTTAGCCATTGCACTATCGATGAACGGTTTGGCGCTAGTCAGATATGTTTATCAACTACAGAAGAGCATCTGAAAACGGTCTTTAATTCATTAGCAGTCTCTTGCGATAAAATGCCGCTGGAATCATTAGACTCTAGGGAGATTACGCACAATAGGCTCGAAGAGATAAGACAGGAAATAAGAACCAATGCACTGCCAAGAGGCCTCGAAAACTGTATGACAGACGGGACGGATTCTGCGCTTGTCGGTCGCTGTGTCGTCTGTAAGGAACTTGAAAAACGGGTCCAGACGCTTGAAGAGAAGCAAGGCCTACTGACGGACATCATCATGGTTATTCCTAAGCACAGTAAGATAGAATTACCAAATAATCCGCCAAATTTCCGGTCGATCGGCGACGAACATCCTACTAATAAAGGCACTAGCGCGGAAAAGTCAAAGCCAGTCAGGAAGAGGAAGCGAGTTATGTCTCCAGAGGAAACTCTAGAGAAATCAGTTCCGGTGGATAACGTGGCGGTCGACACTAATGCATTAAAAATAAGTCAGGTTCCATTACCTGCTATGGTAACTAAACCTGCCAAATCATCGAACACTAAAGTTGGAAAAGCTAGGGTGACCCTCAGAAGATCTGTTAGAAACTACAAGGACTCGCCGTTATTCTTGGAAGGTAATGCTGTTACTCCACTTCTTCACAAGGCTAACTCATCTGGAAAGTGTCCTAACCAATCCGTTTATGGAAAAGGACACGATAAGCCTTCGTGTAGTACATTGCAACAGGGTAATGATTGTAAGAGCTCCACTGCCGGAGCAAGTACGTCACATGAAAATCCATGCCCTAAACTCCCTTCGCCGGACGAAAATCATTCAAATGTCGAAGTGACAACAGCCGTCCGGAATACTACAGTAGCATTATATCGTCCTAACGCGGACGGGACAGTAATGAGCTCTTCCATAAATCGTAAGCAAAATATTGTCATAAGGGGCGCCCCAGAGTCGATATCCTGCATACCGAAGGAACGAGTGACGCACGACCTAGACCTTCTTCATCAGTACGCCAGTGCCGTCCTGGAGGATGGGGAAATATTCACCGTTAAAAAAGCTTTCCGACTAGGCAGAGCGAACCCAAATCGTGACCTAAAAACATCCCCAAGACCCCTGAAAGTTATTTTGGAGAACGAAGCCCAAGCAACGCCTTTGTTAGAAAGTAGAACGACCTTACGCAATTCGCACAAGGAAGTGTTTTTTCAACCAGACTACGAGCCGAGGGAAAGACTGAAAATGAGAGAACTGAGATCAGAATTGAAGGAGAGAATTGGCAGAGGAGAGAAAGGGCTGAAGATCAAAAATTGACAAATAGTCCAGACAAAGGGGTCTTTCCTGTGGTCAGAACCCGTCCCAATGAAGGCCGGGCCTCTCCAACGGATCAGTCATTGAAGGTTATATCCGCAAATGTGCAAAGCCTCTTCAACAAACTAGACGAACTAACATACTTAGTTGATGAAATTAAGCCAGACATTATGGCATTCACAGAAACGTGGCTTACTGAAGATATCGCAGATTCAGAAATATCACTTAGAGGGTATCAGCAATTCAGGAGAGATAGACTAAGCCGAGGAGGAGGAGTCATAATTTATGTCACTTGCAAGCTAAGCGCTATGGCTGATGTACATAGAGCGGTACGGGATGTGGAACTGCTAAACGTTACCATATCTACTAAGAATGTCCGAGCATTGACGCTTT